TCTTTCCTTTCTTCTGCTTCCCTCCCTCGCTGGCAGCGGACTGCCTCTTCAACATTGGGGCTGCTAAGTCCAAGGCTCAGAGTCCAAAAAAACTGCTGGCCAGAAAGGAGTCAAAGCAAGATTCTCTAAAGCAAGCTTCTCAAAAGCAAGATTCTCAATAGGGGGGTCGCCTTGCGCAAGGCGGGGCCCAAGCAAATACGACACCAGGACACTGAGGCCACGGGAACCCCTGCAATGCGGGTTGGCGCCTGCAATCATGCTCATGCGGAGGCCAATGATGCGATGCATGTGACGGCACGCAAGGCGGGAACTTGGGCTCCTGTGGGGGTGCTTTATGCGGAAGCGGAGGGTCCGGATCCTGGCATGCTGCTGCATGCATGTTCTCGGGAGCGGGGATCACGGTGCGGCGCAGCACGTCTGGTGTGTAGTCAATCCAAGGCTGGTGCGGGTGCTGGTCTCGTGCATGCTGCTTGCAAAGAGGAGGGCTATGTGCCACACTTGTCTCATGCATGCTTACGGCCCGGGCCTTGCGCAAGGCGGCCCCCCTACTTGGACGCTGGGTGCAATCACCAACCACGCCACAGGCAGCGTGACTCTGAGGCAGGCACGCCGCTATGCTGAGGCAGTCGCGCAGAGGGCCCCACGAGCCCTGCTGCCCAGAAGCAGGTCGCAAAACAGCAGAGCTTTTCCGGACATACTATCAGCCACAAGCCCAGCAAATCAGCTTAGATCAGAGGCCAACCAGCCAATCAAGCAAACCACTCAACACAATCCAGCAACCAGCACGTCAAGAATGAGATAGTCGGCCGACTCAAACAACGAAGAAATCAAACCAATAATCAAAGAGAAGTGCACAAAACAATCAAAACAACAAGCCCCCAACCACTCGACCATCCGCGACATAAATCAAACCAATGGCACCAATCAAGCACGCAGCCACGGTGTACAGCTGTTTGTTTCTTGGGTGCCACTATTGCGCCAGCAAGTAGCTTCGAGAGCATTTGCCTTGCCCGCTCCGCCAGCCTTTCCGGCGAGCCTGCCGAGCCAGGTGCGTCGAGCCTCAGAGCACGTGGGCGCCCCCCATGCGCACAGCAAGCAAGGCAACAGAAGCGCCCACAAGCGGCCAATGTTTCCCCGGCAAAGTAAAAGCTTTGGGAACCCCCCACACAACCCCCCCCCCCCCAACAATCTCACATTTTCCCCAGCAAAGCACGAGCTTTAGGATCCCCCCTGTCCACTCTCAGATTTGCTGGGACTGGACCAAGTGCCCAAAGTGGAGATCAAAGCCCAAGATAAATCTCATGGCAGCCTCTTCCGCAGCCCGCCTGCCCTGCTGCGCTTCCTCAAACGCATCCTCAAACATGCCGTCGTCATCGTCCTGCAAGCCGTGCTGCGCTTCCGAAAACGCCTGCTCAAACATGCTGCCGCTGTCCTGTTCTGCCACGCGCTGCATCTTCAGACTTTTTTGTTGGCTGGTCTGCCTGCTCCTCCTCAAGGCGTGCTTGGGCCATGCCATCGTCAGACTGGTATGTTGGCTGGTTTGCCTGCTCCTCCTCCTCATAGCACATGTCACCAGCACCTCTGCGAGCTCCTCCCCTTGTCGGGCATGCCATCCAGCACCGCCGCTTGCTCAGCCCACACGCTGCCATGGGGCATGCCTCCAACCACCTCCACTCGCTCAGCCAGCACAATGCTTCGCCCCGACACCTTATGGCTCTTTGGCAGCCCCGCCGTTTTTCGTAGATCTGCGAGACTCTCGCAGCCTCCCAAGCCAGGCTCCAGCTGCCCAGCGACTGCTGGGTGCGGCAAATGCCGCGGAGTGTGCGCGACGGAGCCTGCTCCCGCGCAGTCGCTTGCCCATGGCCTCCAGAGTCTAACTGTCTGCGCTCTGTGCTCTTTGTTGGGTGCTAAAAAAAAACCCACGCAGCTGGCGTGCAGTCTACCTCTTATTGTCTGTGCCCTGTGCGTCGGGTCAAAGCAAAGCAGCTGCGCTGTTTGCGGCGTGGTGCCGGTCTGCATCCCCATATCGTCAATCAGCCGCAGACAAAGACAGCAAGACTTGGCCTCCGAGCGGCTCACACGGAGCCAGAAACTCGGGCAGCCTGGACGTCGCTCGGCGAAGACCCTTGGCAAGAAGCAAGGGACTCACCCACCGGACGACTGTCCTCTGATTCTGTCCTACGATGCCTGCTCCCTGCCCAAAACGACACAAACAAAACGACACAAGGGCCCCAGAGGCTACCAGAGTCTTTGTCGCCACTTGCTGCGTGAGGCTTGTACTGTATTAATTGCGCAAGTCACTCCATAGGGATAAACAAGTTAGTGGACCCTGGCGAGGCCCAAAAACATCAGGCGCCAAAACCAGACGCCAACGAGCTTTGGAAGACACCAAGGCAGCAAGCATGGAGTCCGCAAGCGGCTGCCCGAGCACCTCGGCGAGGGTTTTGTGGGGGATACCCAGCATTCTTGGCGCCTGTCCTTTGTCTGCCCATACCCTTGCCAAGATGTCCGCTTGGACGGCAGGGTGATTGAAGGTGGAAAAAACTACTAGGTCGGTCACATGGCGAGAACCATATGACCGACTGACCTCCGGCGGTGCCGGCAGTGGCCCGGCAGTGGCCTGGCAGTGGCCCGGCGATGGCCCGGCGATGGCTTTTTTTGGCTGAAAACCAGGTTCCGAAAGCACGGTCAACCATATGGCTCTCGCCATATGGCAACTGCCAGCAAATTTCTCAACACTGGCAAAAGTTTGCTCAAACAGGAAGCAAGCAGACAAGCACGTGCGCGTGTCCACCCAAACTTGGGGTCTTTGACAAAATGCCTAGCTGGCGCTTTCTTTTTTCCTCGGAGGCCGTGCGAGAACACGCGTCCCTAATGTGCGCAGCTCGCCAGACGTCCACGCCGTGCCAAGCGCACAGCGCACGCCTGCCAAATGATCAGCGCAGCGCACCCGCCCAAGCGCCGCCCAGCACGGCGCACGCATGCGCACACCTTGGCAAGCCTGAGCAAGCACACGTGGCCAGTTCCTAAAAAACAATCAAGCTACGTGTTCGATGAATGTAGATAACTGTGGGTTACATGTTTGGCCCCCCTCATTTTCGGCCATTAGGGGATGCTTGGCCCAGATCTTGCATTTGAGGGGGCCTCTCTTGATCAAATGCCAGCTGCTGTGAGTGGCTTCTGTCGCAGGGCACTTGACAGCTGTTCATGGCATGACCAGAAAGCCGCTCAAGCAGCAACCAGGCTGAGACAGCAAGCGGAATAAAAGAAAGCGGTCACAAAATGGAAGCCTGTGGTCGCGCCAGAAGAAGGCCTGTCAGAAATTATATACTGTCCGAAAAGCCGTGTCAGATAATGGCGTGCTCTGCGTTTCCTACAGCGATTTCGTTTATCATCTTATTCCCTTGAGACAATATGGGCCGTCCCCAAAAGCAATTTGTGGCGACCTAGTTCGGGCTATGGCAAATTGACACAGCGTGCGAAAGATAGCGTGCGATTTTTGCCCTTCGTGCAGTCAGGCCTGGTGAGGATGATGGCTACTCGAGAGTGATGATCTTGGCAACTCTATGGATGCGGCTCTGGAAACTGAAAAAATGCGATGCGCCGAGAGTTCGCCCGGGTAAGTTCTTCTTGTGGGCTTAGCCTGCGGCCTTGCGAGGTGGCCAGAGCACCCACCGCGTCAATCAGCAACGGCTTGTTGTTGGCCAACACAGACTCCACAAAACAGGCTGACTTTTTCAGGGCAGTGCAGGCGGCAGCCGCCTCTGCCTTTGAATTGGCAGGCAGTTTTCACTTGGAAAGGCTGGCGCCCTCGCGCCGCGCTGCCACGTTCAGATCCTGCACTTTCTGGGCGCGCTTCACGAGGTCGGCCCTGTTGCAGGACTGATTGATTTTTTCAAGATCGAATGCTCTGGGTAGCGCCCCTTGCGCAATATAGCGATTTTCGTGTTTTTTTAAACCAGGTCGCTGCCTTCCGACCGCTTTCCTCGCCAGCGCATCGCTTCTTGTTTGTTACGCGGTCGGCGTTGTCTGGCCCCGCTTCTGCAGAAGTTTGGGTTGGGATGGCTGGGGACCGCTCGCTCGCCTGACCATGCATGCTGCCTTTCTTGACCAGCTCCCCAGCAGGCCGCTTGCTTGTTGCTGCACTGTGCCCTTGCCCGTCCTGCGCCTCCGGCGTGTCCTGCGCGTCCTGCCGCTAAGCAGGTTTGCAGCCCGTCACGACCGCTCCCTCCTGCCTGCTTGGATAGCCTCCTTCAGCACTGTGAGTTGCGCCCAGTTTGCCTTTCACGGCGGGCTTGTCAGCTCCTGTTTTCCCACCAACGGCTTTTTGATCTTGTCTTCGGCCCGCCACTGTAGCCTAGCGTTCTGAGGAAGCTTTGTCCTCGGAATCGCGGCTGGCACCTTGCCCCCTCTCCCAAGCGCGCTTTGGGGTTCCCACGTGCCTGGCTCGAGTCTGCCGTGAGGCCGGTGCCACTATTTGTCACTGCTTGCGCCCTTGTGCACGACTGAACTGTCCAAGTCGAATGGGTTTGCATGATGAGAGCAGGGGGAATGGGGGGGGGGGGCTTTATGTGTTTTTCAAACCTTGATTTGTTCCGCTTGTTGCGCGCTGTTTCCCGGCTTTAGGACGAGCGACAAGACAGCAACTCCCCAGAGCAGGGTGAACGAACGGATAGGTTCGCAAATCTTTTCCAACACTAGGCACAGCCATTTGGCCCGAGAAATTGAAGAATGCAAGATTTGCATGGTGAATTTGCAACGTGGATCAAATACAGCACGGGCGCGTGAAATATTCGCATTTAACTTTGCATACACATGTTGACCCCTCCGGCTCGCACCTGGATACTCTGTTGGAGCCGGCCCTTTGCACCACGAATCTATTGTTGGCAGAATCTGCGGTTGCGTTTGTTGGACACGCACTTGGCATCTTTATGCTTCGTATACCTTTTTTTTCCTTCAGCTTTCCCACAGAAGGCAACATCAGCCCGCAGACGCCCTAGCCGATCCCTCTGATTTTAGAGGCGCGCCGGAACAGGCGCGCGAAAGGCATGGCATGGCCATGGAACTGGCGCCGCAGATGGCGGTGTCACTGGGGGCACTGGTGGGCGATACCTTGCAGGGCTTCATGGAGATGCTACATGGCGTTCTTAGCTGCCATGTTTGTATGTTGCCCTTTAGGTTTTGTAGTGTTTTGTTTTGGCTCTTCAGAACATTGCGCCTCCACTGTTGCTACAAAAGTTGTGTTGCCCACAGCGATTGGAGGATTGCTTGTTGGCAATCGTAGGCAACATGTTTTATTTTTTCTTGTTATGTTGTTGCTCGTGAACCACTCCGCCAGCAAATTACAATCGCAAGCACCAGCGCAGGCTAGATCCCGCAGGGGCTATTCCGGAAAAGGCAAGGCGGGACTTGCGCCACGGGGGTGGAAATGCCATCAGAGATCCTGACTGCGCCAAAACATCACTGGACTGCGCAAAACGAGGTAATGTTTTCCCTTCATCTCCCGGCGGGTAATGGCATTGTCCTAGTACGAAATCCGCCCTTACAGATGACTTGCAAGTTGCCCGTGAAACCCCTTGAGAAAGAACAACAAGCATAGTGAACACCAGCATCAAAACTACATCCATCCACAACCTCAAATACTTCCATTACATCGAACCCAAAGACAGACGAAGACAGGAAGGGTCAATACTTCAATAGGAAACAACAACCCCGAACACAGCTTCTTTTTTTACCTAGATGCATTTGGGGAGTTCTTGTGGTGGAACATGTACCTTATTCGACACCCACCAACCCACCCAAACACCCACCGGGGAATACTGACTCGTTGCAGCCCCCCCTTTCAACAACAACATGTTTAACCCCAAAGGCTCACAGCAATACCAAATCAAAAGGAACATCAAATCCAGCACTACTAAACCGACCATCAAATCCAGCAAATCTAGTGCACATGATCAACTGGAAACTCAACTCGAGCAATACCAGACCAAATGGACAAATTATCCAACAATAGTAGATCTAATAGTACATCCAACCCAGCGATGCAAAATCAAATAGAAAATAAAACCCAGCAATGTGAAACCAAAACGGAAATTCCAATGCAGCAATGCTACATCACATGGAGGCTCAATCCACCAATGGCAAGTGAATTGGGAAAAACCCAGTTGCCGAAAGCAGTACTACCAAATTCTGTGGCGGGGCATGGCATGTTTCAGGCTTCAGCGGGATCCATTTGGGGGGGTTCAAAGGCGTTGTTGAGATGTGCAGCCTGAATCAGAAGTCAAGTAGCATGGCCTCGTGTCTTTGGGAAAGGTAAAGCAGGCAAACCTTCCAGAGCGGCAGGTTAAATAGGCAGCTACCTTGCATAGGCGGGTTTCCGAATGATTATCCCGGGCCTGCACGCTCCAACAGCTCTCGTCATTTGCGCCAGGTCTTCTTGTTCATCGTTTGGGACTTCATTCAGGCAGCTGTACGGTTGCTGGAAGCAGGCTATGAAGCCACGCGCAAGCGCCACGGCGATACCACATCGAATTCAGCGGTGAAAGCTCGGCATTTGGCTTTCCGTTTGAAGATATTTGAAGCGTCTGCCTTTACTAAGAAGTGCCACGATCAAATCCAGGCTTGGTGAATGAACTGGGTGAACTACTTGCGTCACAAGTTGACAGCATGAAGCAATACAGCATGAAGCAAAACACTCACTGCAATTGTCATCGCCCCTGAGCTTACCGGAATGCTTGGCGGCAAAACCGGCATGGGATGGTTGACCACAAGTGTACGTTCTCAGCCTTGACGTGCTTTCATGCCTACATACACATGTGTTGCCACACTATTGACTAATGACTCATACATGGCTATCAAACATGTTTTCACGTCAGCATGCGTAGATGGATGCTTGCCTGCTTACCCTGCACAGTTCCGAAACGTCGGCATGACACGTGCACACATACTCACAGGAGCGATGCCTGCATGCACGCGTTGCACCCTTGCCATCTCAATGCGTACACGCTTGCATTGCCACAGCCGTTGTGCCACAACCTTTGCAAAACACGCGATTGTCAAAGTGAGTTTTTTGCAGGTTTTAATTTACTTGCGCTCTCTGCATCCATCCAGCCACCCACCCACCCATCCAGCCACCAACCCCCCATCAACCCACCCACCCGCGCATCCAGCCACCCACCCACCCACCCATCCATCCACCCACCCGCCCGCCCGCCCAACCATCCATCCATCCGCACGCATGCATGCATATGCATCCAGGCATTCTCCATTCCTTCCTTGCTTCCTTGCTTCCTTGCTTCCTTGCTTCCTTGCTTCCTTGCTTCCTTGCTTCCTTGCTTCCTTCCTTCCTTCCTTCCTTTCTTCCGTCCTTCCGTCCTTCCTTCCTTTCTTCCTTCCTTCCTTCCTTCCTTGCTTCCTGGCGGAGTGCAGTTCACAAACCATGTCGCAAGCATTTTCAACTCTGAGTCTAACCTTTTGCAAAAAAACACTCCTTTGCTGTAAGGTGATTTCGTGGCTTTAGACCAGCCTGATGCCAAGGCTGCTCAGCAATGGCACTTTTGTCTCAGAGATGGATTCGGACACTCAGACCGCCGAGAATGTGAGCAATGCAGAGCCAGGCAGCCACTTCCTGACCAAGCATTTTGACCGCTTGGCTGACGGCCCTCCAGACCTAATTAGACACACGCCCAAGTGCGGCTATTGTCTTTGCTTTCGCTTGATCGCTTTGGCTTCCTGAACTGGCCATGGGTCAAAACCCAAATCGTACCCCCAGTGAACATCAACCAATCCAACCACTAAAGTAGGTTCTAAAATGGGCGGTGAATTGACCTACCAACCAAAATGGGATCCCAAAACGGTTTTGAAGCATGGCCAACTCTCATTTTCGCATGTTCACTCTTGGGTTTTCTCGGCTTGGTCATTTCTGTGCCTGGGCCGTGGTTTGGGTGCGGATTTTTTTGCATAACTTTGACTGCCCCAACCTGGAGCTGCACTCCAATTTTCCCTGCTGCCACGACTCCAGCCCAGTTCTGAGGGAACCTTTAAGTTTCCGACCCCCAACCTCTACGTTTTTTGGTGGAAAACCAAGAGGTCAAATCAAAGTGGAGATAGCAGGGTTTGGCCGACTCGGAAAGACCGAGGTCTTTGGGTGGGGGCGCGGGTTCTGGTTCCGAGGTCTTTGGCTTTTTCTGGACATCTACGGCCGCGTAGGGAAGTTGAGCGACAGCCGGCAGTCAGCGAGCGCCGAGGGATTCCCAGACCCGCAGCCACTGCGCAGCTTTTTGGAGCACCTCGAATCGCTGCGCATGCCGTTTTGTCCCAAGCACCTTTCATATGTTTCGCTGACCCCGTGGCTCTCTGTTGTTTTTTAGAAAGGCAAGGTTCCCCCTTCCCATCATCGGAACCGGATGATTCGCAGCACTCCTTACTCTAATGGGCAGGGGCAAAGTTCTAAATCAGGTTTGCTTCCCATTCCTGTATGCCGGATCATGTTTTTGGGCAAGGGTTTAGATTTAATCTCACAGGGTTCCCCCTTTTCAAGCAAGTTTCCCTTGAGGGAGACTTGTGTTAAGGAGACATGGGGAAACCCAGTCTTCCGTGAGGCATGTCCCAGATGGGCGCACGCTGGCGGCATTGGAAGATGTCTTGGAGAACATGGGGGGCAAGAGACTGAAGGTGTCAAAGCAACTGGCGTGGTGCAACGCCTTGCTGCTGGGCTGAGATGCTGCCGCCAGTTTTTTGGCGAGCTCACCGGCTCGGCGCAAAAAACAAGGTCACTATGATGTAGGTCACTTGGGGATCTCATTTTGGCAGGTTGAGGAGACATCCTCTTAAAAATGCATGTAGAAACAAACCCATGTTGCTTTCCAGGTCTCGCAGTTAGCTGTTCTGGACGACAGCCTGGTTTGATCTGACATCCGCAAATGTCATGCGTTTTGCTGTGCCCACTGGTCAAGCCCAAGAATGCCAGGAAGGCAGCGAATATCGCAAGGGAATTCAGAATGCTGCGCCCCCATCAAAACTGAGGTGTGCATTTTGAAGCCAGAGCTGAGAAATACAAAAACAAGGACTTGGTTGCTAAAATGCATGCAGGCAGATCTCCGAAAAGTCTGCCAAACACGCAGCGACGCAAGGGCTTGAGTCTGCCAACTTTTTATGCCGCGCTCTCCGGTTCACGGAAAGAACTTCACCGTGATGTATTTGACTTCCTTGGGGATCCTCGATTCTTTGTGTTGGAATTAGTTTGGATTTTCAGGATTACTCACTTCCTTTGTTCATGAACTTTAAACTTTTTGGGAAGACCATTTTAGTGGTAAATATAAAGTTTGGACTTTTTTTGGGCCATCCACTCAGCCAGTGAGATTAGTTTGGAGTTTCAGGATTAAGCTCGCAGAGGTGTTTTTTTTTTCGTTGGGGCCCAGGGGGCCATGGGCAATGGGCATCGATCGCAAGGCTGGATTCCCTGACCATGATCAAGCAGAACCTCGGCTGAGTCCAGCTGGGCCTTCGAAAGCGCCAGGGCCTTTCTGGAAAAGTAAGCTCGCCAACCATCGGAGTTACGCTCAAGAAACTTCAAAATTTGACAAGAAGATCATGAAATGCTAGGGAGCTATCAAGAAGGCTGGGTTAGACTAAGGTCAGGGATTTTTTGTCCAGGAGCATGCCTGTGAACACGTTGCTGTCAGTGGCCCTGCGGGTTTGAAGAAAAACAAGATACAAGGTAATCACGCGAAAATCCAACCGCTTTGTGGCATATAGACAGGGGCCACCCTTGTCCACTAGGGGGGGTTCACATCTATCAAGGGTCCTTGGCGGCGTGTGCCAGGAACAGAGTTGCGGAGCATGTTGTTTCAGTGCAATTTGTGGTGGGTGGCCTTTGGCGCGTGGCGTGGTAGTCATGGCGGGATGGGAGGTAAGCACTTTGGCATCACTCAGTGGGCCCATGCGTCGGCTGCCCTTGAGTGTCAAGCTCAAACCGTTCGAGGGGTTGAGTTGGAAGGGGCGGGTCCAGGGTACACAGTGGCTCACAAAGTCTAAATCCACCTGCGGCGGGTTCGGGACGTCCCTTTTTCTACCTTTCGGACTGGGCAGCTGGGTTTGTCTATTGATCCTCTTGTTGGTTGCGAGTAAAAGGGCCTTCTGAGGGCGCAGCGGCGAGTGAATTTCTCTCTTTGTCAAGACCCCTTTTTGCTTGAATACGCATGCTGATGGCATACCATCAAGATTTCCTGGACGTTCGGTTGTGAAAAAGAGCCATGGCAAGGAAGGTTGCTTCCGTCAAGATTTGGTGTCAGTCTTTCGGAACATCAAGTTTCATCCCCAGGGCACCCCATAACTTTCAAGAGAGGGAAATCCATGGGATTGACTTTGTGCTTGTCGAGTCGTCCAACGGGTTTTCTTGGGCGCTCGGTTCCCTGTGCCGCCTGTTGGCACAGGGTGCCGGCCCATTCCCACTCCGAAATGGAATTGGGGGTTCTTCATGGGGTAGTGGCAAGAATTTCAGGCGGGTCGGCCTTCACCACAACGTTAAATTTTGTGCTCAATTTTGACCTGTATGCTGAAACAAATCCTCAGTGAAGCGTTATTAGTCGGTCCCTGAAAGGAATCTAGGGACTGAGTGAATCAGCATGGTTTTCCATAGTTCAACTTTAGCTTTGTGGGGATTCCACTTGGCAAATGACAGTTTAGGTCCATGTCCATGTTTTATGTCCCTGATTTCCGCTTTGGGAGCTTGCGTGTCCAACGCTGGCCTTTTAATCTTTGGGTTGTCCGTTGTTGGTCCATTTGCCAAGGTCTCAGCATGCCGGCACATTTGGTTTTCGGGCCAGCTTTTACACCCCGAAAGTCCCTTTAAATTGTGAAGTATGTCAAGTAGTCGTGGAGTCGTGCGGATGCCATGTTGGTATCACAGGGGCCATTTGCCGCGTTCCCCCCCCCCCCCCCCTCCGGCCCCCAGCTGTCCGCGGCTCGGCTTCGCCAGGAACGTGTCGGAGGCTTTGTCCCTGGCGGCGGCTGTGCTCGTGGAGTACCGGGGCTTCATGCGCCTCGAGCAGAGCTTCGACGTTCCCTCGCACCTGGCGTACCTGGAGCTGAGACCCAACTGGTTCCCGAAGCTCGCCTAAACTTGGGCCTGGTTGCTTTTCTAGGTTTCTGAGTCGTGTCCTGTTACCCCGTTTTTGGGGCTAAAGTAGACTACAGAAAAAAGGGTACCCTTATTCTAACCTCCCTACTGGAGGACCTAGGTGTGCTAAGAGTATGGTGGGCTAAACGTCCAAACTTGGGCCTCCTTTTTTTTTTGGCTTTAAAGATAATTGTATGTTCTGTTCTGTTCTTTTTGCTTGGCCTCCTAGATGAACACAGAACCAAATTTGTTCTCCTACAGATGGGCACAGAGCCAACAAAAACACCATAAAACACCCATGTGTGGAGGAATCTCAGTTTGCCGCCATTTTTGAGTTCCCGGCTGACTTTCCGGAGGCTTGCTCGAAGGTTGGCTTTTGGTGAGCCAATGTTATAGCTCCAAATGTCCAGCTCACTTCCCCAGTTCCTGTCACAAATCCGTTCAGGAACTTGAGAAGCCCAGGATTAATAAACCCGTCCCATTATTTGGGGGGGTGTTCCCTCCAAAAGTGGTCTGAATCCAACCACTAAAAGGGGACACCCCCCAATAAAAATCAACCAGGGGTTTATTAATCCGGGGTTAACATTAGGGGTGAAGTAGCCCAGATGTGCTCTCCTGCTTCCAGGCTTCTGCTTTTGCAACAGGAGAGCAAAGGGAAACGGAGCATGTTACGGCAATGATCATTTTTCTGGCGCCTTTCCAGAAACAACGGCGAACCACCAGGGCACGGATGTTGTTGGATGTGCTTGCTTTTGGATCAGTCTAAGAGATATGTTGACCACTGACCACGACCAAACTACAAGGCGTATCTTATATTGGAGGCAACCCTTCGCTTCTTCACAGCCAGACAAATGAATCCGGGGATCAGACAGTTGACCCAGACATAAAGGCAAGCTGAAATGAACCAGCAGGAACTGGATATTGCTTTTGTCCCCCTCCCCCGCAATTGGACATGTGTACACCCGTCATGTACCAACCCCAGCGGTTAGTCTGGATTCCTCTCTGAGCAGCAGTCTTTCTTCAAGCGGGTGTCTGCGAGTAGTAATCGAGTGACATTTAGATTTAAGTCATTTGGAGTTAGCACAAGTTCGGAACCCAACTTCCCACGCAAACGAGGGGGTTTTGGCGAGGTTCCCGATGTTCTGCCGGTTTCTCAATGACCTGCCCGAAGCTTGAGTGACTTTCGTTAGGAAGTTGCTGTCCTTTATCGACGACATGGAGGGCCAGGCAGGACAAGCAACACCCGGACAACAAATACCACAATTTCGAGGCGCCATTTCCTATCAGTTTTGCAGGTTGGTAGTTTCTGCACTGGGCAGTCCCCTAGTTCAGGAGTCCCGCTTACCGGGTGCGAATAAGCAATGTGTGTAGATTGAGCAAGAAACGATTTTGTTAGATTCAATGGGTCACACATGTGTTTCTAGTGTTTTTTCTTGTCGGGTTGCGTACCCTTCCGGGGCTGCTTTATATAAAGGGAGGTCATGTTTGTGGTCCTGAAGTAGTGGTCCAGCCTTTTTCGAATGTAAGTCGTTTCCTTTTGGCGCCCCCCTACATACGAGGTCCACCATTTTGACAAGCACCCAGACGCAAGCGTGTTTCAACTTTTTGGGGCAAGCCTGGAATATTCCCTAGGCTTCAGAGATTTCGCCAGAAATCCGTCCACTTCCATTGGAAAGTTGCTGGCGTGCGGACAGGTGACTTTCTCCCGGACCTCCTCTCAGTGCAGCCTGTCCAGCGGCCCAAGGAGGGGCAAAAAATGTTTTCAACAACACCCCTCAGCTTTTGCTGGAGGAGGGCTATGGGGAGGGCTATGGGGGGTGCAATCCCTTACTAGCCACTCAACACGGCCTTATGAATTTCTTAATTATCCTTGGCTTATCCTGGGCTCCAGGGATAGTTTCCATAGCCCCTAGACGTCCAACGGATGTCCATGAGCACGGCCAGGAGGCCCAAGACAAGCTGGATTGATGCCACGGGCTACTTGGCCTGGCACGGCGAGTCAGTGCAGGCCTGGGATGCCCAACCTGGGATTCATTCCAACGGCTTTTCAGGCTGTGGCTCAAAAAAGCGGTACCACCATGGCGCTATGGTAAATGAAACCCAAGACTAAAACACGCGTAGCCCCAGGTCTCTAATTTTGAGCCATAGCCAGCTTTGCTTTTGCCTTTTTGCTTTGTGCCCATTCGAGTCGGAGCCGGGGCTACTACTACGGTTCCATAGGGACATGGGGAGTAGAAACAATTTCTTAAATGTCCCTATGGGACCGTAGTGGTAGACCCGGCGTTTGCGCGGTTGCCAGATTTTTATTTCATTGGCTGAACTGAGGTCGTGTCACCGCCATTTGCTGAAGAATGTGTTTTTTCTCCTGAATTTCGCCTGTTATTCGCTGAAATCATTATTTGTGTGTGTCTGTTTCCCCCTGTTGGTTTTAAACCGAATCTATCACTACAGGATGTTTTTAACTATTACTTTTCTAGGAACCTTAAGCAAGAGGATTATGACCACTTCTGTTGACTGCAGTTTGGAGCTTGGACCTTCAACTTTTGTGAGCATTTGGTTGCTTGGTCAGTACACAGGCTCAACTTGGGCAGGGGACACCAAGAGGTTGGGCCTCGCCATAGGACTCCTACGTGTAACTGAAACCGGTTTCAAGAGCCTTTCTTGGGCCGGGGTGAAAGGGGGTCCCTTCAAAACACACCGGCAGAAAAGAAAGGTGACAGATGCCATTTCCCATGGCCACGGGAATTTTTGCGCTACACATCGCCGAGGAAAAGGGTGAGTCTTGTGTTAAATCCTCACCCGCGTAAGTAATGGACCGAAAGCAGGGTGCCCCTTAAAAGCAACATTTCCTTGCTATTCGTGCCCCATACATTTCCCCTTCGTGCAAGGCCACAAACCGGTGGGAGGGATGCGAGCTTTTCTCAATTGAAGGCGTGGGCCAACCCTTTGCTCAAACCTAAAGCCGCATTTCTTTGACAACCCATTCCTGGCTTTGCTTTTTTTGCGACTCTTTGATTGACATGAGTTTGGATTTCAAGGTGAGCTCAAACATTGGCAACACTAAGCATGCAATTTTTGGACGGGCAAAAACTGAGTTCGCGGACAGGCTATGGGAAAGTGGGATGTTTCAACCGCTTCGGTGACATCACTGAGTGAATTCCTGTATTGGGAAGGCCCACTTCCCGGCGTTAAGTGTCTGGAATCCTGGCAACCCTGATCGAACTTGTTGGAATGGCCCTCCACCTGGTGTAGGGGACAGGCTCTGGATGTTTCAACCCTTTTGGGTTATTCGAAGTCAAACCTCCAATCCATTTCTGCCACATGGTAGTGTTTTGATTGCAGATGAGGATCCGGCCCCCGAAACTAGAGGGTTCAAGGGAACCTGGAGCCACAAGGATTGCATCGCCATCGCTATATTTACTCAGAACTCTTGACCGACCCAAGCTCGCTCCCTAGAGGCTTTGCTGGAGCGTATCCGCCAGGTGCGGTGTCGAGGGTCGGGAGTCGGGGGTTGTGCCGCACTGGCCGGCCGCGAATTCATTCTTGGTGTGAGGGAGCCAGAGGGGGTTCCTCCGGCTTACACCCGTTCATACCCCTCATCGGTTGGCACCACCAGTTTAGGCGTAGTTCCGCAGCACGGAACTCAGGGGCACGTTAGTACACTTGACCATCCCGCTACAAGCCCCCGGGACCCATTCTCTTCCAATAAATGAAGGGGAACAGCAAGTTCCATCGGTCGCGATGGGCATATGCCGGAGCATCGGGAAGAATAGGTCATGGAACCATGTTTTTGCGACCCCCTGCCTAGTTGTTTCGCTCAGAAACCAAAAGGCAGAACGCGCTGTGTTTTCTGATGGTGGTTTGGGGCCATTTCATTTTGTTTGCCTACGCCACGCCAACGCGAAATGGGATGCCTCCTACAAAAACGCCTACGCGAGACCAACTTGCCTAGATACCTGCGCGTGCGCCTGTGCAGCAATGGCCATCTCACAAACATGTCAGCCCGCACGGCGACACAACTTCGCAACTTGTTAGTGCAAGCCTAGCGCAAGAAGTGCACCCTTGACAGCTCCCGTTCGATAGTTGTAGCTTTTGAGAACAAGTGCAGTATGCAAAGCACACTTTGGCAGCTCCAGTTCCAGAATCAGAAGGGCCCACAAAAGGCTGAGCCCTCAAATCCCCGCAGTTGGATCTTGGACGTCATGTGAATGTCTATTCGAAGCCTATGTAAATTCCGCCTAAATTGTTCGATGTTGGGAAAGGGCGTGCTTGTTAGACCCGCGGGGCTTCTTTTGCCTCGCCATGCTCCATGCCACCAACTGCCGTTCCATATAGCTTGCGCCAAAAAAACAACTCAAGTTCTCAGACCATCCACAAAGCAAATTACGCTTTGCCTCCATCACCCTTTCATAGAAAAACACATATCACGTGACCTGGTCGCCTGCACGGCTGCCTTCGCAACGATTCACAACACAGGCCTCCGCGAAATGCCCACACCTACGATGTTGTGGCCATGTGAGTCAATTGCCGACTCAACATGAGTGACATCTGTGTTGCCACTGAAGAAGCGTTGCCCGAATGAAGGTCCAAAAACAGGATTGGGGTTGGCAAAGCGTGGCGGAAAGAATCAAATGGCACCTGACAAGTCGAAGAGATTTCAATCCAAGGGCGAGCCAACTTTGCCGGTTGCGACCCAAGAATCAGTGATTGAAACCACGCAGGGCTTTGAATCGGCCAACGCCTTGATTGACAACTCAGTCCCCCAAAGCGAATGGACCTTTTGACCTTGTGGTTTCGGTCCGTTTTCAGCGGCCCCAAAAGGTTCAATCCTAGGCCTGAGGCTTTCAATGGAAGACCCTCCGTTCTCAAAGCCTGGCCACGGACAAGGAGCGTCTGGGTTGCCGGGCAATTGGCACCAGCGTCCTCGAGAAAAGCAACATCCACAAGACAACATCCGAAAGCCACGGTGTCCGCTGGGCAAAAGCAACACAGCAGAGGGGGCTCAAAGAAGCAGCGCGACCAAACCGTTCGGAGCTAGGAGCATCAGCTGAGCTTTTGGCCATATGAGGAACACATCCAAGGGCTCAAAGAAGAAAGCGCGAGCAGAAACCTGAGAGCCATCTGGCTGTGGGTCAAAACCATTGGTGCCATTTTGGGGTAGCTGCGCCACCATGCGCCACGCATTTTTGAACCTATTTTAGTGGCACCACCCCCCTCCCTTTGAGAAAAACGACCTCCATGAACAGCAACCATTAGCTCCCCCCCCCACCCCAGACCAAAAACCTTCAAGCCATCCGGTTCTGGGCAATTAGACCATTTTATTGGCCGGATTCTGACTATGACTCATCGATCTCCATTTTATTGGCCGGATTTTGATTATGACTCTGTTTTGATTATGACTCTGGACCTTCCAGGAGCATCAGCTGAGCTACACCTTCTGGTCGCTTCAGTCCGCGGACTTCCAGGCGCCCAGCTGCCGGCCCAGCTCGGAGGTGCTCTATGACCCCAGCGCCTGCCTGGAAGACGCCGGCTGGGCGGGCGCCTTGCCCGCTTGCGCTTAAGCCTGGGTCACTGTTTTTTTTATTTTTTTTATTTTTGTTTGTGCTTTTGTTTGTTTTGTTTTGGACCTCTGTGTTTTTCTTTTTGGGGGGGGGGTTGGACCTTTGGAACCATTGGATTTCTCGTTGTTGTTTTTTGGGTGCTTGGACCTCAAGTCGGCCACTTGGAGATAACTTTTGAAGGTCGTAGTGCCATGTTTGAAGCTAAGGGAACAACTGCAATCATTGCTTCACATTGTTTCTGGGATGTTGCGTGCTTTTTGGCAAAAACTGCAAGTGGGAGTTGATCAGAAGGTCCACAGAAAAAAAAAAGGAGGATATGTCCAACTAGACGGGAAAAGGTGCCCATGGGCGTTTGGGGCCAGGAATGTTGATCAACCCGCAAGCTTGGAAAAGACAAATCCACGGTGGAAGTAGAAGGGCCGAAATCCCTTGGGTATAGATACAGAAGATGACAATGTAAGTGAAGGAAGGGAATTGTTCTACAGGGTGCCTCAGACATTCATGCGGATTTCCTTTGAAAGTGATCAACCCCTTTCATTGCCTCAGGGAAGCGGAGGGGCTCATCGCACGGGCGTTGTGAGAGTGAGGAACCCTAATTTCAGGTTGGCCCTCTAGCGGTGGAAGCCGGGGTTCTAGTGGCTTCGGGACGGTGATTTTTGCTATTGGTTCGCCTGTTATTGAATTAAATCCTCCCCCTCCGGCATCCTTTTTGGTTGTGTGGAGGAGGCAGAAGCTGGGACGGGGTTGGGGGGATGCCGGTGATGTCAAACATAAGGGTTCTTTGTGGGTCAGTTTGTTTGAAAATAGATGGCGCTGCTTTTCAGTTTGGCTCGATTTGTTATCTACTAGTGCCATCCTCTTTCCCAAGCGAAAGGTGAACCGTGTGGAAGCTTTGCTCCCAAGACCCGGTTGGTACATGGTTGGTACAAGAAGCTTGGCCCTGGGAAAAGGAAACTGCCGAGGCTACGTCTACCGGCACAGCCCCGAGCAGGCGATGGCGCGATACCAGCCAAGGCCATGGCGAGGGCATCGCATCGAGGGCACCGTGTTGCAGGCGCGCACCGAGCAGGGGGTGGCCCAACCCGCAGTTGCGCCCCACTCCTCCTATCGCAATTTTCGCAGGTCCTGGTTGCGGTTTGGACTGGACGTTCGCACGTACATGTTCCTTTGTACGAAGGTTGGTGGATCCGCCAGTCACTCTTTTTTGTTCTTTCTCCTGGGGTTGATGGGCCCAAAACGCGGGCTAGTGGGGCGCAAAAGAAGGGCCATCTTTTCTGCAGCGCTCCCAAAAGCCGCTTCCTCCTAAAATTCACAAGGAGGAAGCAACAAAGGGATACGCAATTGAATGAGTTTGTCCAGGACCCCTGTTCAGAATCCAATTGCTCAAGTCTTACAATCCCTTTCGCTTAATGCACGGTGTGCGGCACGTTTCTAGAGGGGTTCATTTATTCAGGTTTGTGAACCAATATGACCAATTCGATGTAGTCAGTGCTGTTTTGGTTTGGCTCCGAGAGTCTGAGGGTTAATTCCTCTCCCATCCTGTGTGCAAACACTTCTGTTCAGAAACCGCTCACTGTTCATGGGTGTTGGACATCCTTCTTTTGAGGATGTTATAAGGTTGAGTAGTGTAGACATGTTTGGCCCGCCCTCAATCTCCACGCGCTACATGCAGGCCATCTGCACCTGCACGCCGGACACATCGGCACAGGCAATCACACACTTGTCTCACAGAGCTATTCAGGCCCCATGCGACAGAACCTTGTCAAGGCCTGTTTGAAGATTGGGGTGTAGCCAGTAGCCATATTCAAAGTCACTTCCCTGCTTAGGTTTGGTGAGCTGAGCCCTCACTCCCTGATTTCCTGGACTTCATGTTTTTGTTTTTTGCAGACCATTCTGGTGGATATGCAACAAGTTTAGACTAAAGTTTAGACTAAAGTTTAGACGTTTTGTTTGGTTGCCAATCCAACTAAAAGCAAGCCCCAAGCAGCCTGACTCGGGAGGTGGCCACGCTGAAGGAGGGCCTCGCAGCGCCGCCAGTGCCCCTGGATGTGGTCATAGGCGCGTGACTCCAATTTGGCTGTGAGCTTTGGCCGGGTCCAGGCTTTAAACTTTTTGGAACGACGCCATGCTAGTGGCAAACACAAAGTTTGCGCTTTGCGTGGGGCCATCCTCTCAGGAAGTGAGACCAACACTTCCTTTGAAGTTCTCAAAGTTTGGGATTTGTCTCAGTTGCCTCCCGAACAGAGCCACACCGTGGCTTCCTTCCCTCCTTCGGCCCATGATAGCCGAAGGCCTTCCTGGGCGAGCGCATGATCCCCCACCCCCAAAACCTCCAGCCGCTCGCTCGCATCCGCCTCTGATCCCCTTGCTCGGATCGGCAGTGTCGCCGCTGGTGGGGAACTGCCGGGAGCTGCTGGAGATGCTGCGGGCGGAGTCCATGACCATCAGCAAGCTCGTGTACGTGGCCTTCAACCCCACCCTGCCGCCACCGCTGCAGGCGGATTCGTGGCTTTCGTAGGGCGAATTTGGCGAATGGATTCCACATCAATTCGCAAGATCCTTGTGCAGGGCTCCTTAAAAGATACCTTTTGCCCATTTGAAACATGGCTTTTCCCACCAAAATAAAGGGAAACTACTATTTACAAGGCAATGTTCAGGTGTATAATGTAAGGCTCCCTGTTGTGTGGTGTCCATTTCGCTGTTCTCCGATCGTTCCCTTCAAACTGAACCCGAGAAAAGGGCACCCTTTTTTCCCCATGGCTGTGGGGCGTCTGGGCCCAGAATTACTGGGGAAGAATCTGGGTTGTTCAAAATCGAACCAGAATTTGTCTTGGCTTCCTGCAGGTTTCGGAATAGAATAAGGGAACCCAAGGTTCGCCAAGCCAGCTCTTCTAGAAAGGACGGATTTGGACAACTCTTGTGGAGGAAATTGCCGAAAATGGTTGCTTTCTCTCCACTTTTGGGCGTTAGGCCTTGCCACGCCTCACTTTGAACTAAGTTGTGATCCCCGAAACCCTTTCCAACAGCACAATCACAATCGCGTTTGAGCCGCCTCTCCCTGCCTCGCCTGTTCGCAATTGCAACACGAGCACTTCGAAGGAAAGCAAAGAACAGCATAGAACGACCATCAGCCAACAAAGTGTGCATGGCTTATATGCAGCAGACTCGCCAATTCCAGGCCCGGCAAATGCCATGCAGTATCATTGCCCTTTTAAGCTTTGCGGTTTCCTTCATCCCTTTGAACCAGCAAATATTGTTTAAACTATGAGACCTCACGTGCCCAGGAACCCTTTTCCCTGGCAAGCTTGCCCTTGCCGTGGTTTACGAAAAATGATGGTCATGCTTGGGGTTGAGTTGATGTTTCACGGGCTACGCATCAGGCCCAGTCACGGGAGTTCCGCGCGCGTTTTTGTTCGCGTCCTCATGTCGGAAAGCAGGGGGGGGGGCATGGGATTTTGCAATGCCCCGATGTGAATTCTCGAAATGTAGGTCTTCTTTTGAGGAAGCCAGCCGATTTTCAGGTGTGCCGAGATTTGTGGAAGACAAATCATGAACCCAAGGGGTCGACGTTTGGGTTTCCAGGGTTTGTGAGTGTCTTGCTGAAAAATCCCCCGAATTGATGCGTCACAAATACACCCAGCCATGTTTCACCGATTCCCATGCCCCAGGGAGCCCCAACTTGGAGCCCCACCCTACCCAGAAAGGTTCGAAAGGAACCCTTCGAGTAGAACTGTCTCAATAGAACATCATGAAACATCGTCACGGATGCGGATTGATTCGGACCTTCAGGCCGTCCTTAATTTTCCAAAGGGAATGGATTATTTGTCATTATTCCGCACCCCCGCCCCCCAATTATTATCCTGCTTCGGATCTCATTGTCATGACCTTAGGCGGAGCCCAACTTTACTTTCCGGGCAGAAGGGCAGATGACAGTCGCCCGGCAATGCGAATGCTGTGTCTCACGTGCGTTCGGTTGTTTGGGGCACTTGAGGTTTATGAAACGGCTTATCATGTGTGGGTGATTACGCCATGGGGGTTGATTCCCCGTTCTTTCAACCATCGTTCTTTTCCACAACCAGGCGCCTGGGTTTCTGGAGGCTTTCTAGAAAGAAGGATCCCTGGAAAGAATGGGGAAGGTACCAGTATAATTTGGGGCATGGACAGTTTGAGTTGTGACTGGTGATTGTGCCGTCCTTCAAAAGCTTGGCGGGCCGTTGAGCGGGATGTGAGAACCCTGGCCAGCTATGTGCAAGTGTCCTTTAATTTAATGATGCCGATCGTTGACGTGGGAAACACGCTTGACCGACATAAATGCATAAGGGGTAAGGCTTGCATTTACATCTGGGTGGAACTGACCGGAGGTTGGACCAACCAGAAGCGATTCACAACTACTGCAGTCGCCCACTTGCCGCCTACATGCTTAATGTACAAGGGCCAACCCCAAATTAGGGGGCGAGGTCCCACTAAAACTCAACTTGTCTAAAAAAACAAAAAGGGGGCATTCTTCACGGAAAATAAGTGGACCAAGGGATTCCTTGCTTACATGTTTCTTACCTCTTAAAAACGCAACTTTTCAACTTGTTGGGTAACATGGGCTGTATGTCTGTAAAAGATAAACTTCCCCAGGGCTTGGAGTTTTAAGGGGTAAGGCTGTCAAAAGCAATCGGAAGTCTTCCCACCCAGTTTGTTTCAGCCATTTTTGGCCAGCCTAGCCGTTCTCACCGAACGGTAGAACCACAAATGAAGCTCCCCAAATGAAGGTGGGCACCTTTTTCTTTGCCTTGCTGAGTCAAGACCCTCTGGACTCAACGTCAGACAGAGAGAGAGAGAGAGAGAGAAAAAAGAAACAAAGGAGGGGGGGGGGGCAAGCATCCTACCGAACGTAAGCCGAAACCCCGTGGGCGAACCTGAGGATGAGATGGTCCGCGAGGTGGTCTTCTCCCAATGCTCGCTGGCCACCATCTCAGAACTCCTGGCTCCGCTGCAGTACCGCCTGCTGCAGGCGGAACCATCGGTGCTTTGGTGCATTTTGCCAAGGGATGTTAGGACTTGAACTGTTTGCCAACTAATGGGGTTTTCCAGGAAGCCACTAAAAGTTAAACGTTTAGGGGAGAAACCTTTAACTCTTAGTTTTGTTTGTTTTTCCTGTCTCTCTCTTTCTCTCTTTGTCGCATTTATGTTAATATTACCCATCTTTGTAAGACTATGTGTGCGATGTATTTGTTTCATTAAATTCATCTGTCTCATGTGTTTATCATCATTATCTTTATCTACATATGTCCATTTATGTTTAGGTCATCTTTGTCTCTTTCATTTCTCATTCCCCTGCTCTTTCTCGATATGTTTTCTTTTTCTTTTTTTTGCTTGCTCTTTTTGTATTTTGCTTCTCTCTCTCTCTCTCTCTGTTTGTTTTTCATTGTCGTGGTTCTGTTATTTATGTGTCTCTTCGTTTTTGAGAATGCACTAAAACCGGACAAGGCCCAACCCTGACACGTCTGAATTGTTGGACCGCCACTGGTGGTCAGTGGGTCGGCTCAACGTGGTGCAAGTTTGGCGTCCCCGGCTTTGGGACAAATCGAGGCTCGTCTCCCGTCGTAACTGGGTCCAACTTGCGGTTTGCGGGTGGGGTTCTGGGAAAAAACAACAAAAAATGGATGCGAACCCATTTGCTAAGCCCATGACCCTCATTCAGGTTCCTTCCCTTCCGGTGGAGCACCCCTCTTCCCCCCACCCCCACCCCACCACCCCCGCCCCACCCCCGCCACCAGTCCGGAGGTGGAGCACCTCTACGCCGTCTACGTGCACCGAGCCTTCCACGGCATCTTCCCGGAGGTCGGAGAGGCCGAGGAGTGGCGCAGCGGCTGGTCTGCGCCTCAGATCCTGCCATTGGGGTTAAGAATATTTTGTTATTTTCCCCTGTTGGTTTTAAAGGGAATCTACTACTTTTTTTTTCGCCCTAGGGGATTTAAGCAAATGGAGGGATCCGACTCCCCGTGAGGCTTCCGGTTGTTGGATTCGCCAAAGGTAGACTAAAGCCCAGGGGTGGCGCGGTCCCCCAAAACGGGGCACCACTGGTCTACCTTGGCCCTGCAGGTGGCGTTTTGCTGTTAGGTGTTAAGGGGGCGTCAAAAGGAGAACCCAGACATTTGGCTAGTCTAACTTGGAGTAATCAAAAAAAATGGGATCCTGCGGGTGGCATTTGTCAGTGGACGTGAAAAGGAAAACCGAAGCCATTTGTCTAGGCCCCCTATCTTGACACATACTCAAATACTAGTAGGTCATATTAAGCACCATCTGCGGTCTGCGAAAAAGCAGTGTGACTCCTTGCTTTCAACCAGCGTTGGTCTGCGGCTTATCTCTTTCCCTTTGATATGTTCCTTCATTTTCCCTTTCAACCAGGAAGCAATTGCCAGGGGTCTGAGTCTCTTACAAGGGCAACAGGTCCTCACCCGTGTTTCTCCCGAGACTTGATGTGGGTCGGAGGAATATGCGTTTAGAACTTCATCAAAGCCATGTTGTTTGAGCCCTCGGAACTGGGGTCTTTGAAGCTATGCTCTTTTTGCAGGGCTCCTTAAAAGAAATTCATTTTGCAACCATTTGAAACATGTTGCTTTTTCAACACCAAAATAAAGGGAAACCACCATTTGCGAGTTGCAATGTTCAGGTGTGTAATGTAAGGATCCCTGTTTTGGGCAAGACAAAATATGAGGCAAAGTCTGCTTTTGTACGTTTGGAATCTTCATGGTGGCTCCCAGCCATCCGGTTCCTTAGCCTTTTAGATCTTTTTAGTGTTTAGTGGCAGTTTCCGTTTAACCAACTAAAGGTTAAACTTTTAGCGGGGGATCCGAGGGCAGCCCAGTCATGCTAATAGTAATCGTGAAGTCTGCGCTTTTTTGGCAAACCCACTCAGCAAGTGAGACTAGAGGGGTGGCTGGGATCCACTGGAAATCACCTGAAAGTGGACAGCACAAGCCCTTTGCCAGTAAGCCAAGGGGATGAAACCAACACGGCGGAGTTGCGCCATCTACGCTTCACCCATTGAAAAAAAAAGCAAGCCTCAAAACAAGCACAGGCTACCGGGCCCATGACAGGCACTAGATGGGTGACTTGGGGCAACCTGGGAGTGAAAAGTCCCATTTCTGCCGCCGCGCGAGGTTCTGCTCCCCGCTCTCCAAGTTCCTTTTGGGCCTAGAGGCGCGGAGAAAAACGGCGCGGAGTCGGGGCCCTGAAGTTGGAGACTCGCGCGCTCTCGGGGCGGACCCGCCGAAACGAAAGTTTGGGAGAGGCGAAATGCGCGGAGAGAGGCCTGATGAGAGGAGTTCATCCCTCAGCCTTTGTCATAACTTATCCTTTTGCCGTTTCTCTTTCCATATGTTTGCGCTCTCTCTCTCTCTCTCTCTTTCGCTCTCTTCTTTCCTTCCTTCCTTCCTTCCTTCCTTCCTTCCGTCCTTCCTTCCTTCCTTCCTTCCTTCCTTCCTTCCTTCCTTCCTTCCTTCCTTCCTTCCTTCCTTCCTTCCTTCCTTCCTTCCTTCCTTCCTTCCTTCCTTCCTTCCTTCCTTCCTGGTCCTTTCCCCTTTCTCTTTTCTCACCTCTAGTGCACTTACAGCAAAGCTGGAGAGCTTACGCAGCAGGCGGTCATGCGAAATAGCCATCCGCAGCAAACCTGTCGGCTCGTGACACCTTTAAAGAAGGCGTAATTTTCGTGCCGAAATTGAAACGCCAGCATGAGTTTTTGCGTTGTTTGTCCTGGTTTCCTGCATGAGTAACTTTTCCCTTCCAAGGCCCTTTCTCTAACAGAAGCCCACGGGAAGGGAAAAAATGAAGAAAAAAAAACTCCGCCAGGTGCAACGCTCTGTCTGTAGCTGGAGCTTTCTTTGCCGCGAAATCGAAATCGAACGCCCGGTCGCCAGGCCTCCGAGGCCGGGGCGAAGGCCTCGCTGGGCCGCGCCATTTGCAGAGGTCGGACCTTCGAGTCGAGGGTCGGAGTCGGAAGGGACTGGGGGGAGTTCTCGGGTGAAGGCGTCGAGTGTCTCGCAACATGCAGGGGGGTTCAACTAAGAAGGTGGGTTTCCACTTTTGGGCATCTGAAGAAAAATAATAAGGGATCCAACATGTTGGAAAGGCGGGGTGTCAAAATCGGGGGACCCAAGCGGTGGTTGGCCCTTTCCCTTGAAGCTAGCCTGCAGGGGGATACCCCCGTTTCTCTACTCACTCTCTTGGAGGGCCCCCGTGGGAAGGTCTGAACTTGGGGTCCCTTCCCAGATAGGCTCTGGGGTGGTCTCAGGGACAATGCTGCAGCGCTAGCAGGAAGTGAGTATAGCAGGTCAGTTTTTGCCTGAGTACAAACGTATGACGTGTTCATATAGCAACTGTACACGGGCCACTGCGAACCCAACCCCTGCTAGGTTATTGCGGGTTGGGGGGGGGGCGGGGGGGGGCTGGGGGGTGGGCATTTTGTTTTCTTCATTTCTTTCTTGGGTCAACAGTCACTCGGGGCAAAGATTGAGGGCTGGGTCTGGGGCTCCGTGGGTTGGTCAAAATCAAGAGCCGTCGTCTTGCCACCCTTACGAAATTTGGCGCCGCCTTGAAAGGGGCGTCCAACATGGTTTCATCCAACAGGTTCTTGAAACACAAACATTAATGCATGCTCCTTGAAAGGGGGCCCCAAATGGTTTCATCCAATAGGTTTTTCAATCACAGACATTCATGCATGCTTCCCCCTTCAGAATGGGAATCGAACATCACATTGATCACATTGCGGGCTGTCTTTGCCACTTGCAGCGAGTTCCCTGTTGACAAGGGGGGGTGGGGGTGGGGGGTGATGCTTTTAGGCTGTCATTGTCACGGGAGCCTTGGCGTTCGACTCTTCGTCATTGTGGCAAACGTGTACCAGAGGAAAGCGGCGAGGACACCACTCACTTGCTTTCATTCCGCAACGTCTGCGGGGTCCGCGTTTTTGAGGGTACACTTTGTGTAGCAAAAAACATAAGGAAAACACACATCTTGGGGAGTCCCCTCTTTTGTCACGCGCCATTTCGTCTGACGGGACCGTACGGGCCCCAAAGTTTAGGTCAGTCAAATGCAGCTCACGTGCTGGTTTTAAAACTGGTCTCAATCTTATTTGAGCGGCAGGGAACATTGCTTTTTTGCAAGCCCACTCAGTAAGATTATGATTCGCTCAGGCGTGTGTGCGCGTTCAATGTCAGAAACGCTGCATGGCTTCGTGGTGCTTTCATGCTGTGCAGGCGATAGCTGTGACTGCCGAGTACCGTATCGCGGGCCCATGTGTGACAAGACGGCTGCAAGCATCGACGACGAGCGGCCATACAAGGCCGCAGTTGGACGAGCGGGCGCCTTTCCAGTACAGTTTCGTCGGAGTACATCCTGAAAAAGGCGTACCCGCCCACGCACTACCCCGGAGCCTAACTGTTAGCTGGGAGGTCCTAGAGGATAACTTTCTCATAACAGGGACGCTTTGGTGGGTTCCATGTTAGTGGATAGGAAGGTCTCTTTCAACATGGTCTTGGGAAGGGGGGTGACCGGGTGGCCCCTGAAATTCCAGTCGTATGAGTCGTACATACAAATGTTTGTGGAGAAGATGTGGACACATTGAAGCGGAATCCCCTACATGCTTTTCATTAAACTGTTTTGGATGCGAGGTTGGAACATGGCCTTTTGTTTGTCTGACATGTTATTGACTCTTATTTGGTGAGGCGATGTGTAAAGGGTAGAGTTTGGACAAACTTTGCATGGCACTGGCGACAAATGATAATGCGGGCATGTCTAATCAAGATATACGTTTCTGCCAAAGGAGTTGCCTCCAACTATGGATGCCGGGTGGCAGTGTCCAAACATCACCTTTTCCTCGTTTGGGTTCAAGGCATTGAACAACATCACCCGTGTCAAGCTCGCTTTGCGCCTGAGGATTTGTTTAACGGGTTTTGAAGCTCCAGGCAATTGGCAGCAAGGTAAGGGTTGCACGGCGCACGAGTTTCCGGAGGCGGCGATACACTATATTGTCAATGATGCGCCGGACCACATGCAGGAGCCCAAAGTTTGCCGGGCGAAACGAAATGGCGCCCCATTGTTGCAAGGTTGCCGGCAAGCTGAAGCTAACGCGGGCTTCCAAATTGATGTGGCTTTTGGGGTCGAGCATTGAACACTGGTGTGTTTGCACTTTCCCTTGGGTAGTTTAGGCATCACCTCTTGGTGCAACTTGACAAACAAACGACTCCACAGGTTGTGGGAAACAGCTTTCAAGTTTGAAGGCACTTTTGCAATAGCAAGAAAATTCCATTGGAAGTGACAGACTAGTCACATGAATGGCCCGCTTGGGCATCATAGAAGGGTTGTTTCCCAAATCAATGCTTTATCTGGTCCCATGATCGACATGCAGCCACGTCTGGAACTGTAACGCGTGTGGGTGATATGGAGGTGGGAAAGCTGCTCATGAGCCCAACGAACAAACAAACAACATAAGTGATCTTATACTAGTCGAAATCAACACTCAGTGGGGCTGACGAGACCATGCATCTTGCTACCCCGCCCGCCCGTTGCGGTTGGAAGGAGCTCTTGTTCAGCCTCAAAAACCTCTACGATGCCTTCAACGCCCGGTATGACTACCCGGTGCTGATCTTTCACGACGGCTTGTCTCAGGGCAGCAGAAGGCACATTGTGTCCGCGGCGCCAAACCGCATTTGGTTCTTCGATGTGGGCGATGATTGGCTGCCATCGTCCTTCGGTGCTAGTCACCTTCACAGCACTTTTGGCGCAGGACAGGAAAAAGCACTGCTTTCATTTGGCTAAACACCAGGTTTCTCTTTCAAGGGATCCAGGCGGAGGTTCCTTCTAAGTCTGAATTTGTTATCGTCCAAGCAGTCAAGGTATGGGTTTGGAGGTTTGGCGGTATGGATGCTTACGCACCACCAATATAAGCTTTCAAGGTTTTTTGTGTGAAACACACTTTCTTTTTTTACGAGTATTGCCTCCATACCTCCAAATCCACCTGAACATGCTGTTCCTTGAAACAGCTGCCGGTCAGGATACATGGCCCAGAGTCGGTTCCGCTCGGGGCCGGTCTTCGTGCACCCCGCCCTCGAGAAGTTCGATTACCTGTGGTCGCTGGACAGCGCTCTGGGCGAAAACCGGACGGGTGGATCAGAAGGTCCGGTAAACCTGGGATGACCATTGGGGACACCACCAAAAAAACCCATGCATTTGCCTGCGGCTAAGCTTGTACCCCGCAAAAAAAAATGCGCATGCGTACCCGCTTTTTCGGGGTGCGACCTTCAGAGTAACTTTGGACTTTCCTGAAGGGAAAGTCCAGAAATGAAGTCCTGTTCTGCTTTCACATGTTGTCCCCGAAGAACACTTTGATTTTCCAGATTTTCAAAGTGCCCCAGACAAACCCAGGCACACCCAACAATGAGAGGTTTCCGATTTGATTTGTTCCCGGAAAGGTCTTGTATCGGGGCACTCCAAAAAAATGCGTGGCTTTCCATGTTGTTCCCTTGTAACAGCCAAATATTGCGAGACTCACTGAGGCGCTTCTTGAATGGGGTGCTTCCTGAGTATGGGTCATCGGGGGTTCCCTGAGCTGCCATCCAGAGGTCCGCATGGCACCTCGAAAGCGCCGAAAGCCGCACTTTGCCTCTTTCCACAAGTAATTAGGCAACGCCTCTTTAGAATAGCGCTAGTTGCGATGGTCTGAAGGACGCGGGACAGGTGTATGTCCCCTTAAACATCGCTCCTGCCATGGGAAACTCGCCTTAAACGGACCAAACAGCGAATTTTGAAACCAAAAGGGAGAGCCGGAAGCTTTGTGGCATGATCGCCAAGTCGTTTGTACCCATTGACGTGTTTGGTTGCAAGGTGACAGCCACTTTCCCACGACCGTCGAGGCACGCGGTTGGCGTCAACTTGGAGCCCCCCACCCGTTTTTTTACAAAGCTATTGGTTAGGCTTGCGGGTCAGAACCTCCAGCATAACAAGTGGAGTGACGAAAATGATCAATCACATCAAGCAACCTGCTGAGCCTCACAAACTCCTACGTTGGCTTGGTTACGGGTGTCCTTTAAAGAAGTTTAAGACAGCCTTGTTGGACATAAGTTTAAGACAGCCTTGTTGGACATGGCTGCCCCCCAAAAGTATAGGCTAGCTCTCAAAACAGCGCACGCAAAGGACAGCCCTGGGCCCTGACATTTATGACCTGTTCGCCTGTGTGGTTTGGGGCGTCGTGTGGCTTTTTTTGCCTTTGGAAGCCCAGTGTTGGGCGCACGGTGAACCCGGTGAACCCAGCCATGTTCCCGTGGTGTGCTTTGGTAGTTTGCTCTGTTTCGAAGAGAAGCAATGGGAGCCTTTACTGATCTCTTGTTGGTTTTGACTCCCTATTCAGTTGTTTGGGTATTTGCCAGATGTTTTTGCGTCGCTTGGGCACTTTTTGTTTTTCAGAATCGTCATCACTCGCTCATGGGGAAGACCGCGTTTGGAGCATCCCATATTTCTAGGGCTACCTTCCCCATTATTTCAGGGATCCTTCTTTGCAGGAAACCACCCAAAATTCAGGGAAACCGCGATCGGTGTTTGAAAAGAACGATGCTTGAAAAGAATGGAAAAGGAATCCGCCCCTGTTTTGGCGGTTTCTCACAACATTTTGGGGACCAAACATAGGCGACCATCTGGAAAAAATAGCCGTTTCTTCACCCTAGCAGGTTCATTAGTTGTTTCATTCGTCGAATCAGCCCCTGGAATATTTTTGTCACAATTGGATCCTTTCCTGGAGTTAGTCGAATCCGCCGGAATATTTTTGGGGCTCTGGGCTTGGATCCCCTCCAGCTCAAGGCGGATCCCTTCCTGGAGCTCCACAGCAACTCCGAGCTCGTCATGGGCTGGTCCTATGTGACCACCACCTCCCCTGCCTCCGCCTCTTGTCTCAGGCTTCAGGAAAAATCCGACCCACATCCTGGCGTTTCATGGTTGTCGTTGGGAAACATTTTACATTTTTGCTTATTATGGTTTAGTGGGAAACCCCCACTTAACTGCTAAAACTTAAACTTTTGCTCCCCTTCCAACGTCACCCAAGCTTTGTGTTTGGCAAATAGTCCTCTGGAGTTTCCAGTGGCCTTCTCTTGGGGTCTTGGTAGCTATTCGATGCAGTCGCCCCAATTCCGGCAAATGCCGGCCGGGGTGCGTCAACGTTGCTTCCCCTTTGGGCCTTCATTTCTTTCTGCCCCCCTACAGTCTGATAGCATTTGGTCCGTCCTGCTGGGCGCATGAAGCGGCATCACGCCTGCTCAGTTGTCCCAGTTGGTTTAAATAAAG